CGTGAACCAAAAAGACCCTAAATCCTCAAATAAAATGCATCTTGCGAATGACCCAATAGTTCAGCTGGTCAGCATTCGTCTCTTTGAAGAAGGTGTGTGGGCACAAACACCAGGATACACAGGCTCTCCACATAGTGTGAATGCTAGTTAGCCTCTGTGGGGACCAAAGCCGCATCACATGTACCGAAAACAAATAAATATATGACAAGCAACTTGAGGCAATTAATCACATACCAAGTAAACGGTACATTAAATAAATACCATTACATCGCACCATAATTAATTCTTCTTATTTTCTGTACTGTCTCCATTTCCAAGTAGATAGCACATTAATTCTACTTATTTTGCATCTTTCTATCTCCAATTAATTCTTCCTATTTTCTATTTCTCTATTTTTTTGAAGTTGTAAGGTGTCAAATTGGTTGGTTATTGGTAACTGGTTGTGGCAAAAAGTTTGGAATCAAATTCCGCCTGCACCAAGGTTGGTGGATGAGATGGGCTATTGCTGTTGTATAGCCTCATAGAGCCAAAACTTAAAAAGAACAGAAAAAGAAAAATTTTAGCCATGCATAAACTCGTTCTTTCAATTTGAAAACTACCAACATAAAAGGGTTTAGTTTTTAGACATGCATAAGTTCATCTTTTCAATTTGAAAACTACCAACATAAAAGGGTTTAGTTTGAATGGGACCTGATTTGATTTAGTAAGTATGCATTGCTATGAACACACTTGATGATGGGTGATCTGATGTTCCTTGTTGGAGGATAGCTCGGATGCTGGGTTGGTGAGGCACTTAGTCGAGCTGCAAGGAAATAATATCAGAGTGACAGAGTAAATGGGTTGCTTTACCAGGGGTGGATACTCCAATACTTAAGTCAGTAAAAAGTATTATGAAAGCTAGAAGGCAAGAATGCAAGTGTATTTGGGAGCAAAACCGTGTGTACCTTCTTTGATCAATGGGGCACCTTTCTATAGACGATGGTTCTGTGGGCTTCATGTAGCGCGTCTGAGATTCGGAGGTGGTTTCAGTCCCGAAATTGGATTCTACGTAAAGCGATGATGTTTATCCAGTTGCCTCCGAAGTGGGCGAGGTGTGAGTTAGTTCCATCAATGAGGCGACGTGATCYCAAAGGATTTAGAGGTGATAATCCACTCATGAAGGAGGTTGCCCATCATGTCGTGCAAGTTGCCAATTGGGTCTTAGTCAACTCGGTGGAAGTAGGTTGCCTCTTATTCYGACCTAACCCTTTTCAGGGTAGGGGCGTTCGCTGGTCGGCCTGTCGAGGTGGAATCAAGGCGGTTAAGTCAGGTGCGATGTGTCCAAAGTGCTTCCGAAGTCATTGCCTATATAGTGCAGAGATGTCATGTGATGATTCCAAGGTGCCATGTGTCACAATACTACTGAAGGGCCAAATCACCCCTCATCGACACTAATCACTCAATAAAAAACAACTGTCTCAGAAATTGTTTCAGATCATTTTCAACGGTAAGCTGAGGGTATTTATGAAACAAGTGTCAAGGAAGTTATTGAATGCTTAATTAGGGTGCTTAAGGATTCTACTTGCCTGATTTGGACTCAGTTTGGACGTGTCACTACGACCTTGAAACTAAAACTTCTCTCATATAAAAAAGGAAAAAGATGTGAAATTATAAACATTCTAGAGTCAGTTGCTATTTTATTTACCTTTGATCATAGCTTCTTAAGCTTTGATTTCTTGCATAGGGGGCATATAATCTTTTTCCTACCACCAAGGTTCAAAATATTGATACATATCGGGAGCTTTCTGATATGCCCCTATGGAGGGTGTATTGGGGTTTTGACTAGTTGAGGGGGTAGACGGACCTTAAACCGGTTCCTCTGAACCAGATTTGAAAAAAAAAGCTACCGATACTGTTCGATACACCTCCACTGGCATATATGGCATATTGATATTTTGAACCTTGCCTACCACACTCCCAAATAAATAACCCTTTTATTTCCTCCATTCTTTTTCATATAAAGTAGGATCCACTTTATTTTATTTCTCAGGCTCAGTTTGGAAGGAGTATAAATACAAATATGAAGAGTGCAAAACCTTATATTTTGTATGTATTTATATTGTATATATGTGCATTTGTACACCTTTCAGAACAAATAAGACTAAGTCAAATTTGAAGCAAAATCAAACTAGACTATCGGCTTATTCGTACTGACATGTATTTATATATACCAGGGCACTGCAAACAACATGAGCCTGAATTGCCAAATGCCACTTACTCGAGTAAATGCACTTATCCAGGTAAGTGTTTCTCAAGAAAGACTTAACTGGATAAATGCATTTACCCATGTTCTTTTATTTCTTATACAAACAAGACAATAACCATTTTAGACATAGAAATCCATTATTATAAGGGGTATTTTTGTCTAATTCAAGTGTTGACAACTTTCCTGCAAGGTGGAAAGTTATTTATCCACCTATGGGTATCACTTACCCAAGAAAATAAACTTTCCCTGATCCCCACATAAATCTGAAAAAAAAACATGGGATTACGATTGTTTCCTACTTTCCTAAAAAGTGATTCTAAATGGTTGTGGTTATATGATTCCTATCACATAACACGACTATATTTAAGCATAAAAACTTTAATYAAATAAAACTCACTTAGCATACCGAGTGACCACGAGTACACATATTGTTATTCCAAGCATTTTAATTGTTTAGGCTCAGTTTGGGAGGAGTGCATTAGTCACCATTCACCATTCAAACTGATTCAGCCCTATGTCAAGCTGCTGGACTTGGTCTATCGGTTGAACCTGATTCAACCCCATTTTTCAGAGGGATTTTCAGCCCAACTTTAGTTTAAATGCAATCGGGGGGTTTATTTTGTAATTGTACTGACAAATATCTGGTCATCATCTCAGAAAATCGYTACTAGGGGAGGCAATTTCTGTGGCCTTGGCTGTTGGTATGGGAGGAAATTTCTAGCAGAGCCCAGCCCAAGTCTGACGCAGATGACCTTGGCTGTTGGTTTGGGCCTAAATACCTGGGCAAACGTCGATCATGTATATTTAAATGGCATGATGCATGTATTTAATTCAATGTTATCAATTTCTCGTTGATTTGGCTGATTGAACTGTTCAAACCATTATCTGGTTAGAATTTTAAGTCTGGTTTAGTCAAGACTTGTAAGATGGTCAAAACAGTTGATTTACACAAGAACTGTTCGACCCAGCTGGTTCAACTGTTGATCTGTTCGACCTGATGAATAGGTTGCGGGTTGCACACTGAATACATGCAAACTTTCAGAGGCTATAAGTTTGCACTCCATTGCCCTGCTATTTTCGTGAAAAAAAAAACATTTTTGACATCAAATTGCAAATTTTAATATTTTTTATAAATAAAAAAATTAAAAACACAAATTAAATATAAAACAATACATATAACATATCTAAAACGTACTTATATATTATTTATTGCTAAAATATATATATTTATACATACATATATATACATATATACATGATGTGGCACGATTTGAACTGTTCGACCTGACTGGATGAACTGGTGATCTGTGACCCTGAGACAAAAAACAGTTTAACCTCTGAGTCGGTTTTTAAAACATTGATTTAATTAGCATGTACATAAGATTGAAAAAATTGAGGATAGACTATTTATTAAAACACTACATTGTTAAAACAATTTATTTTTATGTATATACTATTAAGCCTACAAACCTAAAAGGGCATATAAATTTGAACTTCACGAAACCAAAACGGACCAAAACGGATGGTTAAGCAGTGATCAAGTGACCCAGTGGCCTCTCTGGTTCCTACTCAAATGACGGTTTTTACATTTTGGATGGGCTATGTGTCCAGTTACCCGGTGAAACCGTGATCCAATAAGGAGAATTCTGGTTTTTTGTTCGGTCCAAAGTTTTAGGTTGTAATGTGAAATGGACCTGAATCTGATAGACCCCCCTAACAGGGTATGCTTGGCCCAGTCCATTTTGCGACCGACAAATTTTTGCCCAGATTGGCCCAATTTGAAAAAATGAATCCAGATCCGCTACCAATAAAACACTACCAATACAGCTTCCAACATGATCTATAGCCACACCATTACCATCTCAAACATACAATCCCATCAATTAAAACATCAAAGCATAGGAGTATGAACATGTGCGGCTATAGATCATGCTGTATTGTTAGTGTGACTAGCATTTTGTTAGTAGCAGATTTGGGCTCTCTCTCTCTCTTCATGGCAGGTGCCCATAATGGATGTAGGGCTTTGACTGATAGATGCATTTTACTAGTTCCCATTACCAGACTCACCTAAAGTCCACTAATGAATAAATAACAATTACACCATTAGTGCCTCTGGGTTTTAATATAATTGTTGATAAGGGTATCTGCCTCTAATTCCTGTACCTTTTTATACTTCTTTCCTAAAAGCTATCCAGGTCCAAAAGTTATCGCTCAGGCACTGCCTCATGTCACACTTTGAAGACCAATTTTTCAACGCATTTGAAAGTTTAGTCAAGCTTAAGTAGTTGAGATTACTCTAGTAGTAGTAGTAGTAGTATACTATTAATCTATTCCTTTTTCTTGTTTTTCTGGACAGGCATCAACTAACTACTCATCCGACAAGGGGCGGCCATAGGTTGGCCGGACAACTAGGGTTGGCTTGGTAATGTATCCAAACCTAAATGGGGATCGGACATCGGACCATGTGACATTGGATTTGGATTGTGGTCCGTTCAATTCAAAGGGATAGACCAATAGACATGGGCGGGTTGATGGGACGGGCCCAAAATTTTTAAGCCTCGTCGCCTAATCGATGCACAATTCTCAACCCTCCTTTCTTTCTCCCATTAAGGAAGGAGGTGGATTTGCACCAAACTTCAGTGATTTGGACATTAATAGTGGCAATGCCACTCTGTAAACGCCAAGTGAAAAGCTATACAATCCTTCTGGGGGCTCTCTGTATAAATAGGCCTAGTTCCTCTCCTTATTTGTCACACCAGTACTGGTTACAGCATCAAAATATTTGTCATATATTTGGAGCTATGAATCCCAAACCCTACGTTCACTCTCTCTTTCCCTTCTTTGTGATCTTACTCGTCAATCCCCTTGTCTTCTGCCAACTTGATTACAAATTTTACGATGACATTTGCCCAAACCTGACAAATATCGTTAGATATGGCGTGTGGTCAGCTATTAAGAATGAAACTAGAGTGGCAGCTTCTCTCCTGCGATTGCACTTCCATGATTGTATCGTCAATGTAAACTACTTCTCAGCTTCTAACAATTTCCTCATCTGTCTCCTCTCCTTCTCAATTGCATTCAACGTCTTACGCCCTCTGAATGTTTTCATTTGGCACTGATCATCCCATCTTTCGTTGCTTGCCCATTTGGATTTTGGAATTAATGTAGGGATGTGATGGGTCTATTCTACTCGACGACACCAGCACCATGAAAGGGGAGAAGAGCGCAGCGCCAAATCAGAACTCAGCTAGAGGTTTCGAGGTCCTCGACGCCATAAAGGCTAATGTAGAGAAGGCCTGCCCATCAATCGTCTCCTGTGCTGATATATTGGCACTTGCAGCAAGAGAAGCTGTCTATCTCGTAACCAACACTGCTCCCTGTTCATTAATCATTTACGAAGATATTAAGCGTGATGTGATCTGCATGCAATGACCACGACTACAAAGTATTTCAGTTGATCTCTGTTTACGCTAATAAATTTTCTTTGAATGATTCCCTTTCTCAGACTGGAGGACCTTATTGGTCGCTACCGTTAGGCCGGCGAGACAGCACGACGGCAAGCCAGAGTGCGGCTAATGAGCAGATACCATCCCCTCTGGAGCCCTTAGAGAATATCACCGCCAAATTTACGTCAAAGGGTCTAGAACTGAAGGATGTTGTTGTGCTCTCAGGTCATTTGTTACATCCTACAGCATCTACGTTTCTATTAGCTTGATTCAAATTTCAATGCGTATCAATTAGAATATTGGAGGTATATATAGAACAAAGGTTATGAGCCGACCGGTCTAGCCAAAATATACGGTTTGGCCATGGCCAAACCTTTCAGTTTTGCGCCAGTCAAGCCAGACCAGACTTACCCAAGGGAGTCATTTCTTCCTCCCTTGTCCAAGTTTTGATCCATCACCCATGTAGCTTCAGTAAATTAAGTTCTACTAAATTAATCTACTACGCATGCATAAGCTGTCAAAGCATTGATATATAATTATATTGGCTCTTCACAGGTGGACACACTATAGGGTTCGCACAGTGCTTCACGTTTAAGCAAAGGCTCTTCGACTACAACAGCTCAGGCAAAGCCGATCCAACACTAGAGTCATCATTTCTTCAGGRTCTGCAGAGTTTATGCCCAAACCAAGCTAGCTCAGACAGCAATTTGGCTCCTTTGGACCGTGTCACAACAAACAAATTCGACAACGGGTATTTTAAGAACCTCTTGAACAATTCCGGACTTCTCCAATCAGACCAAGCTCTGATGGGTGACTCAGACACTGCATCCATGGTGAATAACTACAGCAAGTCCCCATATCTGTTCTTCACTGAYTTCGGAGCATCCATGGTGAAGATGAGCAAGATAAGGGTTCTTACTGGCAAGGAAGGAGAAATAAGGAAGAATTGCAGGGTTGTAAACTAAAATGGATGGTCACATACCTAACTAAGCTTAAGGTTAATTTGTTTGAAGTGTTAGAGACTGTAACTGGTAATTAATGAAGATGTAATTTGTACACGTAACATGTTAAGTGAATCCATGAATGCATGAATATAATAATAGCGTTGGCTGTGTATTGAATGAGATCGATGAGTTCATAGATCTCCTGCTTGGGAACATTTGAAACCTACAGTTCATTATATTTATTGATGAAGAGATTGATTAGAAGCTTACATAGAACTCTGTTCAGATTGTTCAAACATGCATACTTGGTATGCTTAGTGGACTAATATACTGTTACAGAGTAGTATTCATTTCAATTCACAGATCCACATTTCTTCCTTATCTGTCCCTTGTTTCCTGTGAGCACACCGAGATTGCCCATCTTCACCATTGACTCTGCAAAGTCTTTGTAGAACAGATAAGGATACTGGGTATAGGAATTAACAATGGAGGCAGTCGTAGGGTCATTCATAAGGGCTTGGTCCGACTCCAGAAGTCCGGAACTCTTTGCCAGGTTGCTGTAATATCCGTTATCAAACTTGGATGCACTGGCCGAGTCCAAGGGCGCCAGATTGCTGTCTGATCCACCCTTTGGGCAGGTACTTTGCAGATTTTGGAGGAGCGTCGAATCAAGCGACTTGTCGGGCTTTCCAGAACCATTGAAGTCAAATAGTCTCCGCTTAAACGTGAAGCACTGAGCGTAGCCTATGGTATGTGCACCTGTAGTGGACAATAATCCTCAGCTTTACCAAGTTCGCATTAAACAATGGATTCTGATCACTCAGAAATCCTGCCTACTGACTCTTTTCCGAGTTTTATTATTCAGTGTCAATTTTACCAACTGAAGTATGAAGATAGAGTTAGTAAAATGACAGACCATACATGAAAAGCAACTGAAGAATTATTAAAAGATGGAAGAGTAGATTCAGTGGGAGAAGGGATAAGAACCTGAGAGCACCACAACATCCTTCAGCTCAAGACCCTTGGAGGTGAATTTGGCTGTAATATTGTTTAAAGACTCAAAAGGTGATGGTAGCTGTTGATTCGCTGTCTCTTCACTTGCAGTTGTGCCATCTCGCCTACCTAATGGCACAAGCCAAAAAGGTCCTCCGGCCTATATCAAAGGCAAGAAAGAAGAAAAAAAAAACGTTAAAACATAGCTGGAAAGTTCCACCAAGAAAATCAGATTGCGCTACTCTTCTACTCTAGGTTGCACTCGCACAGCTAGCGCCATGTGCAACTGATTATCCATTGAAGTGCTACTTGAATGTGGTGAATWCGTGACTAGTTGTTTAACATTTGATTCAGTTCAGTGGGCTTTTCACTTTCYTCTTTAGTACTTACTAAAAACGATAGAAAAAAGGAAAGAAGTAAACATTAAGTCGATCATCGACCAAGTTCAGTTCGCAACTATAAGAAGGAAGAGTTTCTTACGACGACGACGGCATCTCTCGCTGCAATAGCCAATATATCAGCGCAGGAGACAATCGATGGACAGGCTGCTTCCACGTCTGCCTTTATCTTTTCAATGACCTCGAACCCTCTCGCGGAATTACGATTTGGAAGTGCATTCTTTTCACTAGTGAACTTTGCGGTGGCATCCAAAAGCACAGAACCATCGCATCCCTGTTGATGAACCCAGCAGGAAAAAGAAAGTAAACCTACTGTAAGAGATTTATCACACTTCATATATATGAACATCATCAACTACTTCACTCTCCAACTATCAGGCCATTAATCTGTGATCATCTAAACCCAAATAATACTTTACAGTTTTATAGTAGAGCTAAACTAATTAACATAGGATGTGAGTAATGTCAAGGTGTCAAGAGAAGATAAGTTACATTGACCAAACAATCATGGAAGTGCAATCGAAGGAGAGAGGCCGCTATCCTGGTTTCATTCTGCACAGCAGCCCAAACACCATATTTCACGATCCTGAACAAATCGGGGCATTTGTTATTGTAGATGTAATAATCAAGTTCGCAATGTCCGACTGGATTCAACGACAAAAATAGGAAGAAGAGAAAAGGTATGGTTAGAAGAACTGAGGATGAGGATTTGTGATTCATGGTGTGTGTAGAATGTGATAAAGTTTGTTCGAATACGATTGATGCTAAGTGTTGGGCACTACTGGGGATGCGGTGGGTGATTTATATGCTAACTTGCTAGTGGGCTTCGTAGGCTTAGGCATAGATAGTGGCGACGCCACTAGCTAGAGAAAGCCAAAACTTCCCAACTCGAGACATTGTTTATTGTTTGTTTTCATRGACAATGGGATTAGAAATCTACTACTTGGAAGTCGAAGCTGACAATGACGATCGACCCAAATGTGTTGCATTTGATGACAAATCCATCAGAGATGAGCTCACTCATATTTCAAATTGGAGCATGCACCATTGCCATTTACTCAAGCATGCTGAGGTGGGGCAGAAATATCTCTCTGATTGGACTTATCAACATATACAACAGTTTTAGGCAGGTGGGGAATACCTTTGTAGAAGAAAAAGATAATGAAAACTTATTACTTTTTTTATATATTTGGGTGAAAAAAGTTGCCATAACATTTGGTGGGGAATCTAACGATGATGGAATCAGAAAAAACAGGGGATTTTCAGCATTTTTTTTATATTCGAGCCCATTTCTCATTCTAAAATAAAATGAAGCATAAAGCAAGAATTATTTATCCAAATGTTTCAATAATCAATATTGACAATATAACTCAATCATGCCTAAGAAAGGACAAAATTTTAAAAATAAGTCCCATAGCAGTAAACCAAATATGGCTAGGAAATTTTGAATTATTAAATTGTTGCGTAGGGGGTGCTCACGGTTCAGTTAACCAAATCATGGGGCACTTTTTGTAACTGAACCGGTAGTATCGGTTTTTTAAAAATCGGTAATCAAAATCTATCGGTTAACTGGTTGACCGGTTTGATTAACCGTCAGTTTTTTTATTTTTTATAATATAAATTATAAAAAATATATATATATATATATTTATATATAATGCATATTTATTAATTCATAATATATAAAAATATATATAATATACACAAATATATAGAAATCTATGTATACCGGTCGATTTGATTAATCGTCAGTTTTCTATATTGGTTAATCGAAACTAAACCAACAGATTTGATTCACCAATTTTTCAGTTCGATTTCGATCGATTTATCAGTCGACTCAGTTTTTTGGTTTTCTTTTGCTCACCCCTATTGTTGCGTTGTAAGTTGCAAGAGGAACCACTGCTTAATTGAAACTCCTTCTTGCGTTCATTGACACCAGTCTCTATAAAAGTGAAAAAAAAAATCTGAATAGAATGCCAAAAAAGGGATGGCACGTAGGATGTTTGCAGACAATGGAACTGCATTTGCAATGCAATAAAGATATTGAGACCACAAAAAAACCGAAGAAAAAAAAAGTAGCTTGGCACTCTCAGTTATATAATGTCATATTCCAAACCAAAGAATTGTAGAGAAATTTTGTTCTTCATCACAATTGAAGTATGAAGATCACAGAGTTTTCCTTAAACCCAACATTTACTAGGGTGACCACCATAAATTTTTAATAATGGAGCTAAAAAGGCTTCCTAGAAAAACAATAATAATAATGGAACTCAGCAGAGAAGTCCTAAGAGGAGTTTGGATGGGCTCCCCACAGCCCATTTCCCACATTCATTCATGCATTGGGAACATGCCCTGTGCGGCTGTTCGTGTCATGGGGAGATGTTTCCAATTCACGGAGGGATGGGTTCTGGGGCACCTGTGGAATGTGCACTGTAGAACTTAGATTCAGTACCCACAAGCCCATACTCACATCGTCCTCACACCCACTTGCAGCTATGTATTGGGAATATCTCCCCAAATGGAGGGGGGAGGAGGGGACGAGACACTCTCCTATCAACAAACTCTTCACATACCTTCCCACAAGACACTATTACCATGTATTGGAAATATTTCTCCATGAAAATGACAAACTAGATATTCCAAATACAGTGTTGGGCATAAAAAGTTTGCATGAATTAACTTCTATATATATATATATATATATCCTTGCGTGAATACATTTATCACATATGAAAATGGTATATAAACATCATTTACTAATATTTTTTTCAATTAACCACTCTTCATGGTCATCATCCTATCTTTCCCACTCTTGACATAAAAAACATACTTAATAATTCAATACATATATGAATAAGAATAAATAAATCACAAGTGTATTAAATCAACCCTAACCCAACCCAACTTTATATGTCAGATTATCATTTCCTAATCCTAATTAATGCTTTTGCACAACTGATATCAAAACCCTGAGATTACGTTTAAGGGTCAGTTTTGAAAAAGTGTAAATACAAATATGGGCTCATTTGATTCACGGGAATAGGGATTTGGAATCGGAATTGGAAATCAATCGAACCCTATATTCAGCGAAGAACCTTGTATAAAGTATTTCTATACATTGCATTTGCATTGCTACATATTTGTATTTACATTCTTTCCAAGCTTAAATCTTTGTAAATTTGCAACGAAGAATTCCATAGTATTCCAATGTCCAAACACTAGAGGGTATTTAGAAAAAACTGAAAATTTAAAACATAAAAAGGGCATAAATAGATACTTGATTAAAAAACGAACGGTTTATACTTTATAAGCAAGAGCAAGCATTGAAAAAGTCAATCAAAGAAAAAACTAAAGAAAAGCTGCTTCATGGATATAATCCTGAGTACCATCTGACCAAACCAGAATTGTCCATTCTTGGGTATCTATTCATAACCATGATTATACTTTTCAAACGTAAGACCCCTTTTTTCTCTTGGATCAACCAATCTAGCTATTTAGTCTTTGCAAGCCTGATGAACTATCATCATCACTACATATTTTCTGCCAACGAAAAAAATATTCTCGAAGAAGACCATTCATTCATTTACATTGATCCTGCCCGTGACTCCTGTTATAGGTTCTTCTCTCTTTCTGTCTCTCTGTCCCTCGAACAATTTAAAATATGTCAGAACCACCACCATCGTCCTATTACTGCACAAGTGGGCATATGCAGGCAGATGACAGATATCTCTCATCATCTCAGCCTTTTTCTTCTTGCTTCCAAGTTGACTGATGACCCAATATTTGAACATATATAGATTCGGAGTCTTTCCATTTCTTCAACTCTCATTTCAACATTAACATCCATCTTATTAGGTTGTGTTTGTTAAAAGAGGTAATTTTCTTGAGGTAATTCTAATTTCTCAAGAGAACAGAAAATGCCCAAGGGTTATTACTTATACACCCCCCCTCTAGCTTCGTGCATTTACTGTACGGTAGGTTTTGGGTCCCATTTGAATTGGGGGAATAGGGGTCTGGAATCGGATTATTCTGATTCCAACTGTTTGGTTGGGTGATATTGAAATTTTATTCTCATTCTTGCTCCCATTTGGAGGAATGGTCATTCCTTGTCCCTCCCTTGACAATAAAATCTCATTCCTTTTGATTTTAATTCTTATTCCTATTCTTGTCTGAATCAAACAGACTATCAGAACGGACCATTCTGATTCCCACTGTAAACCAAATGAAGTCATAGTAAATTTTTGACACTGCAGGGGGTGTTTCAGTAAATGAGCCTTAATAATTTTTGTAAAAAAAAAAAGTATTATCAGGGTCTGCCTCAATTGAAAGATTCTTTTTATTTCCTAATTTCACCTTGTGCTACTTAACTTCTGCTTGTAAGTCTTTGACACTGTTGACTGTTCATTTAATTAGGACACTCAAAAGGCCAAATTATCCTTCTAAACTATAGAAATTTAACTGTAGTGTCTACAAGCAAATCAAAACTATAAAAATTCCCTATTTTTTATGTATAAATAAAGAGATAAGATTCACAAATTGAAAAAAAGAAAAAAAAGAAAAAGAAAAGAAAGGAGAAAGCCTGACAACAAAATCCACTCTGCCCACCTTAACCATAACAACAGTAAAGAAATGGATATGACTCGTTGGATTTACAGCTCTCGTCTCATATTCAAACCTCAAACTCTCGAAGCCATTTCTAATTGCACTTTTGGTTGGAATAATCTTGTTGCCCTCAAAGCAAAAAAGCAAATAGTAAGTCTGTATTATTCATTTCGTTCAATCAGCAACCGAGTCAAATTTGGGATTTACAACAAATAGCTAGTCACACACTTTTGAATTAAATGCCGGAGCCACACCACATATTGCATTGTGCATCATCCTTAATTCATCCCCCAAATGTCTGGTCGACTATTGGATTTCAAACAAAAAACCATGGATCCTTTTTAATTGTCTGAAAGATTAGGTGAGTATTCAAAATATGTAATAAAGTAATTATAAACTAGTTAATTGATACTAATCCATTGATAATTGAATAGAGAATAGTGTCATGTGCAACATACTATTTGGTAGTCAAAGTATCCAGCATTGGTTGTCCAGATAAAAGAAAAGAGTAGGGGTTTATCATTTTACTTTTTGACTACTGTTGAGAGGTAGAGAGAGTTGTGACAACTTTTCTTTAATTTTCTTGGATCTTGTTGGAACATCCCCTTTTTGCTTTCTGTATATATCTTTATCTGCAACTCACTTTTTTTTTTTTTAAATATTATGAGTTCAATCGGGTTTTAGGCTTCTAGGTGTTATTAGCTTTTTCTCCAATCCAGAGTCCAGACTTAATTGATAAGACTCAACTCACAAGGGTGGCAAGTGGAACAGGCTGCACGCCAACAAATGCAAAGAGTAAAAATACAAATATATAGAGTGCAAAATTTTGTATATATTTTAATTCCTTTCAATTTGAGTTTTCAGGCTCAGTTTAGAAAAAGTTACAAATATATATAATATAAATGCATAAAAAATAATATAAAATATAAGGTTTTACATTTTATATATTTATATTTATATTCTTTCCAAATTTAAAAAAAATACAAATACAAATATATAGTATAATTACATACAAAATAATACATTTTATGCTTTGCATATTTGTATTTGTACTTCTTTCAAATTGAGCCTATGGCATAATCAGTGCTTAATTTATAAGAATAAGTGAATTGCAATCCACCTCAAAAATCTAAAATTGCAGCCCCTTTCTAATCTACTAGTATTCCCCCCTCCCCTCCTCCCGCTTTCCT